ACTCTAGTTCTGCTAGAGGTGCTGAGCTTGCAGGTGCCGGGTCTGGGGGTGCTGAGACTAGGGGTGCTGAGCCTGGGGGTGTGGAGTCTGGCGGTGCTGTGTCTAGGGGTGCTGAGCCTGGGGGTGCTGGGTCTAGGGGTGAGGAGTCTGGAGGTGCGGAGCCTGAGGGTGCCGAGCATAGGGGCGCTGGGTCTGCTGGTGTGGCCACCGGCGGTGCTTCGTCGAGGCGGGAGCCACTCTCTCCACAGGAGCTGCGCGAGTGGTTTGCTTGCCGCTGGAGACGTGCTGCTGAGACTTGGGGTGCTACTGGGGCTACTGGAGTTGGTCCTGCTAGAGCTGCTGCCGGTACTAGTGCTGCTGGAGCTAGGGGTGCTGGGGGTGTTGGAGCTGGTGTTTCTACTAGCGCTGGTGCGTCTGGGGGTGCTGCTGAGGCTGCTGGAGCAAACGGTCCTATTGAAGTTGGTGCTGCTAGAGCTAGAGCTGCTAGCGGTGTTGGCGCTGGCGGTGCTGCTGGCGCTGATGCTTCTGAGGGTGCTGGAGTTGGCGCTGTTGGAGCTGGAGGTGCTGCAGACGCTGGTGCTGCCGCTAGCGGTACTGGTGCCGTCCTTGCTGGTTCTGGAGGCGCTGAGCGACCGAGGCCGTACTTCGTTCCGCTCCTGGAGCAAGTTCTTGGTCTCCCGCCCTCTCCTGGTCCTGCTCTTTCCTTAGAGTGTCCACAGCCTGTTCAGTCCCAGTCAGAGTTACAGCCCGCCTCCCCTCTACCTACTCCTTCTCCCTACACTGGTCCTACTGGGGGTCTTGCTGAGCGTCGTGAGCCTGCGTCTTGTCCTGCGTCGCCTGTTCGTGCTGCTCGCAATAATGGTCGTACTGCGCGTCCGCGTCCTACTGCGGTCCCCGGCACACACCAGATGGCGCTGCGTCCTTCCACTGCTCCTCTGCGTGTCCCGTTGCCGTCTCCTGGAGAGTCCTCTCTTCCTACTCTTGCTGACCCGGAGTCTGACTCTCTTCGTGTTGCTAGTCCTTCGGTCACGCGCCTCCTTGCTACTGTTGTCCCTGACCCTTCCTTTGAGTCCACTGCTGCGTCTGCCCTAGTTGCTGAGCTTGTTGACTTAGCTGCTCGCTGTCGTCTAGACTACGCTGCTAGTCTCGTTGCTGAGTCTAGGTCTCTCTGTCCTCCGTCCGTCGGGGGTGAGTGTGCTCTTAGCACGGACGTCCTTGAGGATAGGTAGAAGGAGTTCCAGTGCTTTGCTTTTACTTTGCCCCATCTTGTGTCAACGCTAATTGCACCTGAGGGAGACCCGGATGCACCAGACATCCCGACTCCTCGATCGTACGCTGATGCGATCGAGGGTCCCTACTCCTCTTAGTGGCCGTCACCCATGGAGGCAGAGATGGCTTCCTCGAAGTCCACAGGCACCTACGTCAACAAGGTTCCCCACCTGGGGCGAACATCGTCAGTGGCATGTGGAATTTTAGGTTGAAGCGGCCGCGAGGTTCTCCGCCTGTCTTCAAGGCGCGTTACGTGGCTCGAGGCTTCAGTCAGCGGCACGGAGTTGACTACTTCCAGACCTTCTCTCCCACCCCGAAGATGACCACTCTTCGGGTGCTGCTGCACATAGCCGCTCAGCGCGACTACGAGCTTCACTCTCTTGACTTCACCACAGCTTTCCTGCAGGGCAGCCTACACGAGGAGATCTGGCTGCGCCGCCCATCTGGCTCCACTGGGTCGTTTCCTCCTGGTACCCAGTGGAGCTTCCGGCGGCCAGTCTACGGTCTCCGCCAGGCACCCCGTGAGTGGCACGAGACACTGAGGACTACACTTGCGGCTCTTGGGTTTGCTCCCTCTACTGCCAACCCGTCGCTGTTTCTGCGCACCGACACCTCTTTGCCGCCGTTCTACATCCTCGTGTACGTCGACGACTTGGTCTTTGCCACTGCTGACACTGCTGGACTCGCCCACGTGAAGTCCGAGCTGCAGAAGAGACACACGTGCACAGACCCGGGTGAACTGCGCAGCTACCTTGGCTTGCAGATCACCCGGGACAGAGCACAGCGCACCATTACCCTGACTCAGTCACACATGGTGCAGCAGGTCCTTCAGCGCTTCGGCTTCACGTATTCCTCGCCTCAGGCCACTCCTCTATCTACTCGCCACTCGCTCTCAGCTCTGCCTTCGGATGAGTCCGTAGAGTCGAGTGGCCCGTATCCAGAGCTTGTTGGCTGCCTCATGTACCTGATGACCTGCACACGACCTGACCTTGCATACCCTCTTAGCATCTTGGCACGCTATGTTGCTCCTGGGAGACACAGACCGGAGCACAGGGTGTTGCGCTACGTGTGCAATACGGTGGGCATGGGGCTAGTGCTTAGAGGGCGATGTCAAGTGGTCCTCACAGGTCACACTGACGCTTCTTGGGCTGACAACCAGGCTCTGCAGCGGTCGTCACAGGGTTACACCTTCAGCCTTGGCTCCGGCTCTGTTTCGTGGCGGTCTACTCGCTCGTCTTCTGTTCTTAGCTCCAGCTGTGAGGCTGAGATCTACGCAGGGGCCATGGTTGCACAGGAGCTACGCTGGCTCACCTACCTGCTGACTGACCTAGGAGAGCCGCCTCGTTCTCCTCCAATACTGTGCGTAGACAACAAGGCCATGCTGGCCTTGTGTCGGGAGAACAGAACGAAGCACATTGCTCTCCGCTACTTCCTGGCTCGTGAGCTGCAGCAGCGTGGTCAGCTCCGCCTCACCTACGTGGCCTCTGAGGCCAACACTGCTGATATCTTCACCAAGGCCCTTCCGCCTTGTGATCATCAGCGATCTGTACTTTGCTAGGTCTTGTGCCTACCTGGCCTCACTTGCTCACTTCTTGATCTTGTTTGTACTGTACTATTTCTATACATGCACTTGCTTGTTTACTTTTATATATATGATCTTGCATGTGAACTGGCCTTGTGGCCTTGCTCTTGTGCTCGGACTATGTGGTGACTTTGTGATCCACCTTTAGCTTGCTTTGCTTTGCTTGACTGGTCTTGTGACCACTTGTTCTCCCCCACTTTGCCTATGGGGGTGTGTCAGACCATTATTGCTTATACATCTGTATAGGCTGTAGTGGGGTAGCCCATAAGGGGTATAACCCAATTAGGGTTAGCACTTGTACCCAATTGTTTCATAGTTTAACCATTCTCTCGCTCTAAACTTCACAGGGTGCCCGTGGCCAACATCGAAAACCACCCTGCCCTGCAAGTGTACATGAGGAGCCGGGGTTCCCACGATATACACGCACTTGCATAGCGGAGGGGGCTTCTTGAGGGGGGGGGGGGGGGGGGGGTGGGTAGTGTAAAGAATTTTCTTGATATTCCTTTAGCGCGCCCTGGAACATCGCGTACAGCAGCAGCCGTTGTTCTCCCGTTACTGCTAACGGGGCTTCGCCGACTTCGCGCGCACTGTTTTACCAAACCTTGCACTGCTGGCCCGGCCGTGTCGGCCTACGCTTCGGGACTAGCCCGAGCCTCGCTGCCAGCGTAGCACTAGCTAGCTCACACGCACCGCGTTACCGTTTGCATGTTTCGCGTATAAATGTTCGCTCATGCCTTCGCTCACATTTTGTACTCGTTTGACACCTTAGTACAATTCTCGCTACTTCGATCCATTGCACCCGTAAGACAAGGAAAGTGTCGAGACCTAAATAGGGGAAATGCTTGTTAGGCGGGGAGGTCGGGCGAGGATGGCTCGGAGATGGTTACGATTGGAGCGGAGGCCGACTCGGGAGTGGTTCGGCCGACAAAATAGGCCGAACAGGTTCGTCGCATGACCTTCGGGATGTCCTCGCTAATAACTTATTACAGCAAGGAATTCTAATTCCTTACAAGTACAGCACTCGTAACACATTGAGAATGTAGCGAGAGCATGAAGTAACCCATTGTGAATTTGTCAGGCCGCAATTTGCGGTGCCAGCGAATGCCGCTGCGTCAACATGGACACATAGTTCCCCCAGCTTTGTTTCCCTCCATAGATTTATCCGCGCTGTGTTGTTCAAGTCCAACGGCTCTTTTTGCACCTTTTCTGTTCGTGCTGCACTTACATCGCAACCTCACCTAGTCGGGAAATGTAGGTCTTCAGTTCAAAGTATCCAGCATTCTCGCGCCTCGTTGCTCTCGGGCGTTAGTCCCTTGTAACTGAACATTCCCTTCGCAGCGAAAAAACGACCGGAATCGGACTGCGTAGACTAGCCTGGATGTCCTTGTTACTAGGTAAGAAGGCTTTGCATGAAGGCATATGCTAGTTGCATCACCTTCTAAGGCAATATTGTGACAAACTCTTAACAGAAGTATAGGCTCGCGATGTACGGGTCAGCGAAGAGGTTTTCAAGATGCCGCATTGTATATATGCATTTGCGACAAAACTGTAACTCACTTTACCCGCAACTTCCCCGAGTATTGTCTGTTCCTTCGCGCACGGCGCTCAAGTTTCGATTAAAAATTTGCAGCGGACCTAATCCAAGGCGACTTGTGAAAAATAAGGAAACCATAATCGACGGCGAATTCCTCGGGGTATAGGCGTTCGAGGTCAGATCTGGAATCGCAGTTGATGATCCAATGCGACTTGTGACGCATCTCATCCGTAGGAAACCCTAACCGACACGCACTTCCTTGAGTATTACCTACTTCTACTGCTCCTGCTCATGCTCCTCCTGCTGCCCCCGTTGCTGCTCCTGCTACTGCTGCTGCTGCCGCTCCTCCTCCCACCCTTCAGAGCTAACAATTTAGCGTCTGCTGCTGTGCGTCCTTCTGCTGCTGCTCCAATGACAGCTCCTGCTGCTGCTCCTGCTCGCCGTATTGACTACAGCAAATGGGACCACTTGCATTCCAGCAGCGATGAGGAGGAGGAGCAGGAGAAGCGGAAGAAACAAGGAGAAGAAGGAGGTAGAAGCAATGGTGGCGGGAAGGGCAAGGCCCAGATTCTTGCTGCTGCCAAGGCCGGCGCGTTCGTTCCTCAGCTTGTTGGAATGCCATGGGGTGGGCTGACGCTTGAAAAGGTTCGAGGGCCCAAGCCACCATCCCAAGAGAAGCCGTGCAGAGTGGGAGATGTGGAAGAACGGAAAGGAGAGGGGCCAGAGAGGCTAGGAGCTGAGGAAGACTCGGAGAAGCTGCAGCTGCTGTGTCGGGACGACATGGTTCACTACCTGGATGTGAGGGACGTGTGGGGTGTGGCAGTGTGCGAGTGCTGCTTCCACCGCGCTGTCAGCCAGCGCACCCAGCACGCCCTCGTCATGACCACCCTCAAAGCCCTCTGCTCCCACGTGCAGTCGCCACAGCCTGCGTCCATCCCGCTCGCTCCCGACCGCCAGGCCCAGGGTACTTACGAATATTCATTGAAGGTTCCCCTGCCGAAGGCTGTGGCGCAGCTCAATGTGGCAGCTGACGTGCACGTTGAAATGAAGGGCGAGATGGCCGCTCTCATCTGTGCGGAGGCCATGCTGCTCGAGTGGATGGCTGAGCCGCGTGTGGGCGTGCTGACAGACTTGGGCACGATCAGATCCCGCCTGCCTGCCATCATGGCTGCTACACATTGCCCAGCTGCTAAAGCTTCCCCTGCCGCTGCTCCTCCTGACGCCCTGCCGGGTTGTGCGCCATAGGTATTGGTGTAAGGGCCTAATAAACTCAAGCTATTAAGACTTTATCACACTTAAAACCTCTCCTCGGGGTCACCTCCAAGGGTCCTTGGGTGCCTGGTACAAGACCAGCCCCTATCCTCGGGTCCGAGTTTGTAGAGAGAGGGATCAAGAGGGACTTAGTCAAAACAGCAAGAGTACCTTGAACGTTGCGCAGCGTATCGTGCAGACCATCGATCGGATTAAGCTGAGAATTTCCTATATCGAAGCTCACTCTAAGAGCTTTAAAATAAGCCAAGTTGCCTCGCGAAAAGTTCTGCCATTACGAAGTTATGGCTCGGACAGCGTTAGCCTAGCGTTGGAGTGCTAGCATACTAGCGTTGACTCGGGTAGCATTCCGCCGTCGCATCGCGTAGAAACAAAATTCCAGCAAGGAAGGAAATCGCTTGAATCAATTTGACTATATTCAGGTACAAACAGAGAAGGAATAAATAGCTCTAGCTAGCAAGGACCTTGGGAATCAACCTGGGAACAACCAGGGATGATCCCAAATAATTCCAAGCAACAGAACCAACCTAGCTGGACAAAATAGCAGGTGATAGGTTGGTGAACAACCTCTGGTTCTGTTTTTCCAACCTGGGAAAACAACAACCAGGTTCAGGTCCTAAAAACAGAACCTGTTTTGTCTTTGCCCAACCAGCCAAATGCTGGTTCCGCTGGTTTCCCCTGGCCCTGTAGCATGCAGATACAGACAAACAACATCCAACCTTCACCCAAATCGTACCCCTATAGTGCCTGCCCTGCTACACTATAGTCAACCAAACAAAACAGTACAATTTCGAGTTGGATAGAACTGAATCTGCGCAATCAAGTAAGTTGAACCGCAAAGCTTCCATCTTGGGTTCCTTTGCGAGCTCGTCCTTTCTGCTTGTACTGTTCATAGCGCGTACAATGTTATGCCGAAGCGCACATTTTGCGAGTACCTGCAAATGCTTCAAGCGAAAATTGCGAAAGCAAACAAACACACAAACATACCATTCACACGCAAATGCATTCGCACACGCATACTCGTACAAACAGACGGCAGGATGTCGTGCAATGTGAATTTGCACCCAACACACTCCCCCTCAGCCTGCCGGCTGCATCCCCATCATTCCATACTAGTTCATGCTCATTCCACTCATACGCACACAACGCCAATGAGACTCATCCGCAAGCCTCTTGGTGAGGAAGTCTGCTGGCTGCTGGTGAGTCTTGATGTAGATCGGATTCACCGTCCCCCTCTTCACCTCCTTACGCAGCCAGTGCCACTTGATACGCATGTGCTTATTGAGCCCATGAAGCACAGCGTTCCTGGCCATCCCAAGAGCTCCCTTGCTATCACAAAACAGCGGTGTAGCAACCTTTTGCTCCTGGCCAATCTCCTCCAACAGCCTCCTCAGCCAAATCACCTCCTTTACCCCATGGAACATCGCCATGTACTCTGATTCCACGGAAGAGAGTGCTGTCTCCGTCTGCTTCTTTGACCTCCAACTAACCTGTCCTCCCCCAACTACGCAGATGTATCCTCCCACAGATGAGGAATCCTCCTTCTCAGAGGCCCACGTAGCATCAGTAAAGCAAGTGAGAAAAAGCTTGCCTTCTCCAAGCCTCTCCCTCTTCTCTTTCAGCACCTCAACCCCTTTCTGCTTCACCTGTGCAGATGCGGAGTATTGAACTCCAATGCTTGGGTGAGAGTTCAGATACTTCACCACACGCTCAGCTGCATCCACCTGCTCCTCTGATGGATTCTGCACTACCCTAGCCAGCTGCCCAACCGAGAAAGAGATGTCGGGTCTCGTGTGAACTGCTGCATACAAGAGGCTGCCCACCAAGGACTGAAATTGCTGCTGCTCCTCGGCTTCAACCCCTTCATCCTCTGCAGCTTTCACAAGCTTGAATTCTGCTGGCAGGGGAGTTGCAACCTTGCGCTCATTCTCAATTCCGTACTTCTCCCCAAGCTCCTTGATGAACTTCTCCTGGTGCAGCTTCAACCACCTGTGATCCAGATCCCTCTCCACGTGCATCCTGAGGTAGTACTTTACCTCCCCAAGGTTCTTGCACTTGAAGTTCTCCATCAGCTGCTGCTGCACCTTCTGGATCTCCTTCATGCTGCTGCTAAAGAGAAGAATGTCGTCCACATAGACCAGAAACAGCACCAGCTTCTCCCCCTCCCCCTTGAGAAAGAGGCTCTCATCACAGCTGCTGGTCCTGAATCCCATCTCCTCTAAAACAGCTGCCAACTTCTGGTACCAGCAGCGTGGCGCCTGCTTCAAGCCGTAGATGGACTTTTTCAGCTTGCACACCCTGCCCGTACCATCCTCATACCCAGGTGGCTGCGTCATGAACACCTCCTCCTCTAAAATCCCGTTGAGAAATGCCGTTGATATGTCCATCTGGATAATGAACTTCCCACTAACGGCTGCATCTGCCAACAAGACACGAAGGGTAGGGGGTTTGGCAGTGGGAGCAAAGATCTCATTGAAGTCCCGCTTCTCCTTCTGCATAAACCCCTTAGCCACCAACCTACTCTTGTAGATGGTGACCTGCCCCTTGTCGTCAGTCTTGATCCTTAGCACCCACTTGCATTGTACCGCTTTCTTTCCCTCAGGCAGCACCACTAGTTCCCAAGTCCCATTCTCCAGCAGGCTCTGGTACTCAGCATCCCTGGAAGCTAGCCATTTGTCCCTATCTGGTCCAGCTAATGCCTCCTCCATGCTAGCTGGTTCCTCTGGTGCAGGGGCAAGAAAACAGTACGCAGGTTGATCCTCCTCATCCGGGTCATAGCCATGCGGTAGAATCAGCAATGCCTCTTCTGTCCCAAGCTGCTGCTCCGCTACATCAGCTCCTGTAGTCAGCTTCTTAGTAGCCATACAGGTACGTCCTGGTCTGGAGACGGGTGTTTCCCATCCCTTCATAATAACACCCTTCGGCTTCTTAGTTTTCCCCTGCTGCTGCTCTCCTCCCTCGGATCCAGCAGCTCCACTAGTGCTACCGCTAATCTCCACACCATCACCTCCACCAGCAGGTGCCTCCTGCACCTTCTCTTTATCACCACCCTCTGCAGCTGCCTTCTCTCCCTCCTCCCACACACTAGGAGTCAGGTCCAGCTGCATGGTAATCTGCTCCATCTGCTGGGACACCCTGGCCTCCGGCTGTTTCTCCCAGCTCCCATACATCATGCCCTCAACAAACTTCACATCCCTGCTGTCAAACAACACACCCTTGGAAGGCTCCCACAGCAGCCATCCCTTGCTTTCAGCTGCCAGCCCCAAATGCACACACCAGATTGCACTTGCCCCCAACTTACTGCGGTAGGTCTTGGGGACGTGGGCGACTGGCATGCAACCGAACACCCTCAGCATGTCCACCGGCGGCTTCCTCCCAAGCCACCTCTCCAACGGCACCCACGAGTCATCCCCAACCTTTGTGAGTACCCTGTTCCTAGCGACGGTAGCGTGCCGAACAGCATGGGGCCACATCAAGTTGCCCAGCCCAGATTCTATGAGCAGCGCCCTAGCTGTCTCCAGAATTGTCCGGTTCGCCCGTTCTGCTACACCGTTCGACTGTGGGGTGTAAGCCGTGGTCAGCTCCCTCTGGATGCCCTGCTTCTTGAGCCAGGCCGTCATCTCAGCTCCAAGGAACTCACCACCCCGATCTGTCCTAATCCGCTTCACCACACACTCCGCTTGCTTCTCCACGAATGGCAGCCAATCTTCCTGTATCGTAGAGGCGGCATGGTCCTTCTGCTTCAGCGGATATGCCCACATAAGCCTGCTCCAATCATCCACTATGGTCAGGAAGTACCGCTCCCCCTTGTGTCCCTGAACCGGCAGCGGCCCCACCAAGTCCATGTGGACCAGCTCTAACGGCTTTTTGCTCCTGCCAGCCACACTATGGAAGGGGAAACGGGTGAACTTTGAAAGGAGGCAAATTTCACATTTATCATCGGGTGGTTGTCCGTTCAGCTTTAAGCCCTTAACGGCTCCATCCTTCTCCAGCTGCTTCAGCAAAGGCATTGCCACATGCCCCAAACGTCGGTGTGCAGTTGCCCAATCTGTCTCCCCAGATCTGGCCGACACTTTCACACCAACCCCTCCAACGGCGTTGCACTCCCCCTGGGATGCAGACCCCTCTCCAGCCTGCCCCCCACCGTGCCACGCCAGCGCCGGCAGCTGCCACATAGATCTGTACACGTCCTTGCTCTCGTGCAGATCCCAAAGCACCCGATTGCCCAGCTTCCCCTTATAAGTGCGAGCCCCATCCGTGTTGGTGTTCACCCCAGCCTTGCCAAGCTTACGGAGGGAGATGAGGTTGGCCTTCAGGTCGGGGACGAGGAGAACGTCGTGCAGCACCACCGGCTTGCCATCCGCTCCCTTAAATGCAGCTCGTCCCGCACCAGCCACCTTCAACATGTGTCCAGAGGCAGAGCACACCTCATTAATCGGTGCAGCGCGTACGTCGTCCAGCAGGTCCTTGCGCGGCGTCATTGTCCAAGCAGCGCCTGTGTCCAACACCCAATAGTCCAGGGGGTGCAGCTCTGCTCCAGCCTTAGCAGATGCGTCTCCTTGCTCCCCCTTGTCTCCCATATGGAAGAATTGGCCCGCGGTGCGCTCCTTCTTCTTCTCCGCACCGCCGTTGCCCTTCGGGTTGTTGTCGGACGAATCAGCGACCATGTTGGCGCCGTTTTTCTGGTTCCTCCGCGCGCCGCCATCCTGGTGACGATTCTGGGGGGTCCATCCATCGGGTTTCTTATAGCACAAAAACCAGGGGTGCCCTTCCTTCTCACAATACCAGCAACTCCCTTTCATTTTGCCACCAGCACCCGACTTGCCCCCACGTCCAGATTTCGCACCGCGACCCCAACCGGTACCTCCTTGTTGGTCGTTGGAGTCGTCGTCTTTCTTTGCACCGCGTCCAGCACCATCGAAGCCACGTCCTTTGCCACGTCGGCTCCCTTGCATCCCGTAGCCGCTGCTGCCGTCGTCTCCACCCCTCAGTTGGCGGCGACGGAAGTCCTCCTCCAGGATCTTCGTCCGCACCCACTCGAGCGTCCACAAGCTCTGTTTCTGCGGCAGGCTCAATCCGCTCGTAAATTGAAGCCACGATTCCGGCAGCAGCGAGAGCAACTTCAAGCACTTTGTTTGCTCCGGGTAGGTGATTCCTGCGGTCGCCAACTTTGCGTAGAGGTCGCGCAATTTGTCCAGGACAGGTTGCACTGGCTCTCCCTCGCTCAGGCGCAACGCGGACAGCTCCCTCTCCAGCATCAATGTTTCAACAACGGAGGTCGGGGCGTGCAGCTCCTTCAACACCGTCCACGCCTTCGGACCGCACTCAACCTCCGGCAGCAGGTGCATGACGTGGTGACGCTGGTTCAGCTCCAAACTCTGCGACATCAAGTAGTAGCCAGCCGAGGCGCGCTCGTCCCAATCTTCCTGAAGGGCGGGGTCACTCGGTCTAGGCTCCTCCCCAATCATTAGTTTCAGCAATCCGATTTGACGGAAATAAAGTTGCATTTTCCAGGCCCAATCATCATAGCCCTCACCATTGAACTTCTCGACGGTGAAGTTTTTCAGCACCTCCTTGATCAGCGAGCCCTGGCTTGTTCGCGCTCCCCTTGGCGCAGAAACACCAGAATCATGGCTGCCGCTACGATCTTGGGCTGAAGATTCACCAGCTACCGCCGAGGTGTTGCCCGCCATAGCTACCTATATCGAGGATCACTATAACGCAGCTCTGATACCAGCTTGTTGGTGTAAGGGCCTAATAAACTCAAGCTATTAAGACTTTATCACAGTTAAAACCTCTCCTCGGGGTCACCTCCAAGGGTCCTTGGGTGCCTGGTACAAGACCAGCCCCTATCCTCGGGTCCGAGTTTGTAGAGAGAGGGATCAAGAGGGACTTAGTCAAAACAGCAAGAGTACCTTGAACGTTGCGCAGCGTATCGTGCAGACCATCGATCGGATTAAGCTGAGAATTTCCTATATCGAAGCTCACTCTAAGAGCTTTAAAATAAGCCAAGTTGCCTCGCGAAAAGTTCTGCCATTACGAAGTTATGGCTCGGACAGCGTTAGCCTAGCGTTGGAGTGCTAGCATACTAGCGTTGACTCGGGTAGCATTCCGCCGTCGCATCGCGTAGAAACAAAATTCCAGCAAGGAAGGAAATCGCTTGAATCAATTTGACTATATTCAGGTACAAACAGAGAAGGAATAAATAGCTCTAGCTAGCAAGGACCTTGGGAATCAACCTGGGAACAACCAGGGATGATCCCAAATAATTCCAAGCAACAGAACCAACTTAGCTGGACAAAATAGCAGGTGATAGGTTGGTGAACAACCTCTGGTTCTGTTTTTCCAACCTGGGAAAACAACAACCAGGTTCAGGTCCTAAAAACAGAACCTGTTTTGTCTTTGCCCAACCAGCCAAATGCTGGTTCCGCTGGTTTCCCCTGGCCCTGTAGCATGCAGATACAGACAAACAACATCCAACCTTCACCCAAATCGTACCCCTATAGTGCCTGCCCTGCTACACTATAGTCAACCAAACAAAACAGTACAATTTCGAGTTGGATAGAACTGAATCTGCGCAATCAAGTAAGTTGAACCGCAAAGCTTCCATCTTGGGTTCCTTTGCGAGCTCGTCCTTTCTGCTTGTACTGTTCATAGCGCGTACAATGTTATGCCGAAGCGCACATTTTGCGAGTACCTGCAAATGCTTCAAGCGAAAATTGCGAAAGCAAACAAACACACAAACATACCATTCACACGCAAATGCATTCGCACACGCATACTCGTACAAACAGACGGCAGGATGTCGTGCAATGTGAATTTGCACCCAACAATAGGTGCGCGCAACCCTGGGGCAGCAGGCAGAGATAGGTGCGCGCCATAGGTGCGCGCAACCCTGGGGCGCAGAGGCGTGGGAGCAACAGCACCAGCAGCACCCCCTGCAGTGGCAGCGGGATTTGCCAGCACTCTTGTGAACACAAACCCTGTAGTTGCAGTGTTCACGTATCGTGCAGCCTGCATTCTGCAGTGGGCGCGCACCTATGGCGCACAACTCGTCCCCGCTACTCAGTGCTGCAAGGACAGCCCCCACGGGAAGGTCCGCCCCATCCGCCACCCGCTTCGGGACCTTCCAAGCCTGCTGGTCAGGCTCGGTGCCATCCCCAAACCGCTGGACCAAAGTAGGTTCCCCTTGGAGTGGGAAGAGTTGCCTCATGGAGATGAAGCTGCCGCAACGCTTCCTCATGACCCCCGTGCAAGATTCTTCCACCTGGGAATTGTGGAGGAAGCGAATGGGACAGCAAGGGAGAAGGGCGGACAAGGGTCAAATGGAGGAGGCAAGATTAGGACCGCGAGGGGGAAAGGAAGAGACAAAGGGAAGGGCAAGCGGGAGGGAAGGAGCAGAGTGCATGGAGACGACGAGAGGAGTGAAGACAAGAGGCTGCTACAGCAGGTGCTCACGGAACTGCTGCCGCTCGTGCAGAGGAAGTTTCCCATCGTGCGCTGCACTACCGATGCGGAGTTCATAGTGGAGTTTGCCGGGCATGTGGTGCAGCCTCCTGCATGCGCTCAGTGCAAGCAGTGCCTTGCTGTCTACAGCCGTCGCATGCCCTTCCTCATGGTCGTCACCAACTACGCCTACCGACCTGCCACCACCCTTTTCAACCGCTTTGTATCCATCTTCCCGCCACTCTCTCCCGAATTTGAGCGGCTCACTGTTAGTTTGGGTCTGCCGACTTTCCTTGCCGGCATGCCGGGCTTTCTAAGGTCGCCTGTCGTGCAGGCACAGGTAGAGAAGTTTCCTGTTGACTGTGGCTCTGAACTGTCCTCTCCCCATCCTGGGAATCACGGACCTCATGTTCCTACACAGGCTGCGAGACGGAGAGGAAGAGGACGACAGGTTCTGGGAGGAGGTGCAGATGTGGTGCCTGGCGATGCTGTTTGCGTGGACGGGCGGCATGAAGCTCGAGGCCGACGCCCTGACTGACACGTGCAAGGGCAGACAGGGGCTGTCCTCCGCGCATGGACCGGAAAAACGATTTTTTGCAACTGAGAAGGGGCAAGATTTGTTCAGAAGGGCTACCATACCCAGGTTCTGTGAAGACATGCAGGATGAGAATGGGCCTTCTGAAGGTGCCCGTAGCAGCAACAATCGCAGCGGCAGCTGCGGGAGCAACAGCTCAAGTGACAGACGAGGCAGAAAGAGCGGGATCCAGGGGAGTGGGGGGGTTGATGGGATGGCCGATGAGGGGGGGGAACCGGCTTACCTGAAGGCATGGCCAGGAGGAGTCAATTTGGTGGCATGTCTGCGAGAGATACTGCTAGGGGTGTCGTGCTACCGCCTTGCCCCCCCTGCTGCCCCTTCCACCCCTGCTGGTGGGAAGAATGTGTGCGGTGCTGTGGGGTGTGGAAGGGTGGAGGATGGCGGTGTGAAGCTGAGGAGCTGCAGTGGGTGTGGCAAGGTGGCGTATTGCCGCAGAGAGTGCCAAAAGGCGCACTGGCCCTCCCACAAGCTCACATGCCCCGGCAAGACAAGCGGCAGGGATGGTGGCAGCAGCAGCGGAAAGGTGAGGGCAAGGGGATTGGCAAGGCGAGTGGCAAGGGGAGTGGTACAGTGAGTGCTGTCCTTGTCAAGCAGGTGTGCTGTGTATTGCTGGAGAGAAGACCAATGACCGTTGCTTCATACGTTCATTGCCTTCTTGGCGTCTGAGCATGCATCTAAATGCATTTCTTCCTCCGCTCCAACTCTTCCCAATTGGTCACCTCTGTTGGAAACAACTAATTCTAAGCGCCTCTGTCGTGTCGAAACACCAAGTCAGAAGCGAAGCAAAGTATATCGAAGCACCTGCGAGTCAACCCTCGGAGGTTGAGCAGTTGCTAGAGGTTACGCGAAAGTCAAAGGTCAGCGACCTTTGACCTGACAAGTACAGCACGACAGTAAGGACACACAACTGACTCGTTACAGAGCAGTTGCCCGAGTCGTCACTGTATCGAACCGCAACAGCAACAGTAAAGTAGTTGCAACCGTATCTCTTCGTATTCCTTGTACTCTTATATAATCTTGTATCTCTTTGCTTAAATCAATCAACTTTGCCCTCACATACTAGCGCAAGGTGGTTCAAACACATCTCATTAAGCTTCCGCTAATTACAACAAGTCCAACTCAGAGTTCAGCCCTGCAAAGATCCTAAGGGCTTTCTCAGCCCAACATGGTATGAGAGCTAACAGGGGGAACTCAACTACTATCAAGTCATCTACAACGTCAGAAGACATGGCAACACAAAAGGAAAGGAGCTCCTCTAACGGCTCCCCAGGTACTACTCCTACTCCTCCTCCTGCCTCTGGCCTACAGACAGAGGAGGGTACGGCAACAAGACCAAGAGCAACATCCACCGAGACTCCCGCGAATCAACTTGCAGGCTTCGACCAGAGCATGATGGAGAAGTTTTTCTCCTTCATGTCCTTCTATGAGCAACACCAGCAATCGGTACCTGCGCAATCACACAACAGCAACAACAACAACAACGTGACTCCAATGAGCCTTGATGGTTCATCCTACGCACGTGGAAATCAACAGTAGTAACCTACCTTTGCTCCATACAAGCCCCAGCGCGGTTCCGTCAGCTTTATGCCACAACCGCAGCCTGCACCTGGACAAGAGAAGACACTGGACGCATTACAAGTTCAGTCGCAGTTGGCGCACATTCTGAAGCTGCAGACATCAAGACCTTTCGACGGAAAGGACTTTTTTACCTGGTCATTCGAGTTCGAGCTGATGATGGAAGGCGCGCAAATCCTCGGCTTCTTTGACGGGTCCCTGCCATACCCAACGAACGGCACACAGTACGAGAAGCAGCAGTACACCTATCAGTCAATGATGGCGTACACAATCCTACTGAGGAATATCACCCCGACTCAGCAACAGAATATACGGTCTTCCCAGGGATACGGCAACTCTGCTGAGCTCGCATACAGCCACTTGAAAAGCCTGTACCAAGCAACAGACAGCGTAAGTCAGAGTCGACTAATGGCACAACTGACAACAGTCGAAATGAAACCAGGGGAAAAGGGGATGGCGTATATCAGTCGCTGTCGCGAATTGCGCGAGAAACTCCTTCGATGTGGAGGGTCGATATCTGAAGACGCCTTCGTGACAGTCATCATTGGCGGCCTTGGTCCTCAATGGCGCGCCACAAAAGCCATTCTCCGAGCTCACGGAAGAATCTACGAAGCAACACTTTGCTCTGAAATTCATGCCGAGCAACAGGACATGGACCTGCAAGAAGAAAGGCACAAGAGGAAGACATCAGCACCGGAATTCGCTTTCTACACTCAGCGATGTTGGGTGCAAATTCACATTGCACGACATCCTGCCGTCTGTTTGTACGAGTATGCGTGTGCGAATGCATTTGCGTGTGAATGGTATGTTTGTGTGTTTGTTTGCTTTCGCAATTTTCGCTTGAAGCATTTGCAGGTACTCGCAAAATGTGCGCTTCGGCATAACATTGTACGCGCTATGAACAGTACAGGCAGAAAGGACGAGCTCGCAAAGGAACCCAAGATGGAAGCTTTGCGGTTCAACTTACTTGATTGCGCAGATTCAGTTCTATCCAACTCGAAATTGTACTGTTTTGTTTGGTTGACTATAGTGTAGCAGGGCAGGCACTATAGGGGTACAATTTAGGTGAAGGTTGGATGTTGTTTGTCTGTATGTGCATGCTACAGGGCCAGGGGAAACCAGCGGAACCAGCATTTGGCTGGTTGGGCAAAGACAAAACAGGTTCTGTTTTTAGGACCTGAACCTGGTTGTTGTTTCCCCAGGTTGGAAAAACAGAACCAGAGGTTGTTCACCAACCTATCACCTGCTATTTTGTCCAGCCAGGTTGGTTCTGTTGCTTGGAATTATTTGGGATCATCCCTGGTTGTTCCCAGGTTGATTCCCAAGGTCCTTGCTAGCTAGAGCTATTTATTCCTTCTCTGTTTGTACCTGAATATAGTGAAATTGATTCAAGCGAATTCCTTCCTTGCTGGAATTTCTTTTCTACGCGGTGCGACGGCGGAATGCTACCCGAGTCAACGCTAGTACGCTAGCACTCCAACGCTAGGCTAACGCTGTCCGAGCCATAACTTCGTAATGGCAGAACTTTTCGCGAGGCAACTTGGCTTATTTTAAAGCTCTTAAAGTGAGCTTCGATATAGGAAATTCTCAGCTTAATCCGATCGACGGTCTGCACGATACGCTGCGCGACGTTCAAGGTACTCTTGCTGTTTTGACTAAGTCCCTCTTGATCCCTCTCTCTACAAACTCGGACCCGAGGATAGGGGCTGGTCTTGTACCAGGCACCCAAGGACCCTTGGAGGTGACCCCGAGGAGAGGTTTTAAGTGTGATAAAGTCTTAATAGCTTGAGTTTATTAGGCCCTTACACCAACAAGCGACGCTACAACAACAACAACAACAACCGACAACAACCAAGGCCCGTACCTCCGTTCTGCCACATCTACAAAACGTCAGGATACCCACGCACACACTGCCCAAATCGACAACAACCAACTCCACCACAACGACAGCTTCGACCCTCAAGCAGCCAAGTGGCATCGACGCAGGCGAACCCCACGAGCCAGTCGCAGCCGTCAAGAACACAATCTGCACAAGGAGCAAGAAACATCGTCAGCTGCATGGTAAAACTGACCGACTCCTGCATCACCGAGTCACCGCCACATTACTCACCAGAAGAGCAACTCAACAACAATACACCTCGCCGCGAGTCACTTCAACCGAACCCAACGTACGCAGCCATCGCCCAAAGCGAGCCATCCGGGAAGGATACCTGGTTCTTAGACAGTTGTTGCGGACAGCACATGTGTTCCTCAGGACGCTTCATGCAGCGATAATACCAACTCCAACGCGAAGTAGTTATCACCATCGCCAATAACCAAAACCTGCGCACACGACGACAAGGAGTGGTTCAACTTCAGTCACGGGAAACAAACGTCATACTGCATATGTCGAAGGTCTTAATAGCAGAAGGACTCGGCTACAACTTACTGAGCGTTAGTCAGTTAATGGCGAAGGGGATACACCTTGAAGCAGATAGCACCACCCAAGAATTCAAGCTGTACCACGGGAGAGGAGGTCTCTACATCGACAAAGCACTCTTGAAGAATAACGTCTCCGTCCTTGACTTCGTTCCAGATCTCGGCACCGATGACAACGACGGGATCGTCTCCTTCACCCCTTGGTCACATCCACCGGATCTTGATTCAGACTTCAGTCCTGGAGGCTTCTGGTACTCAGAAACTATTCATGAAGTAGAAAGAACAAGAGCGTTCGCGACAATTCAACAATCGGCAGCAGCAGAGACGAAATTGGCAGCAGAAACAACATTGGCAGCAGCAGAAATAACAACGGCAGCAGTAGAGACAACGGTAACAGCAGTGGCAACATCAACACCAATCGCTGGTCCTTCAACGGCACCAATCCTCGTCGATGACACACCACCGACACCCACGCAGCAGCTAAACCCGGCACCCACGAGAATTTCATCGAAGTGCCAACCTCACCGCCAACTTCTACTCCAACTCCGACATGTACCGACGTTCACCCGGACACCGCGCCACCGAAGACATCTGGCACGGACGAATGGGACATCCAAGCAACACGGTGTTAAACAACACAATCAGAGCAGGAGTGCTCGATAAAGACTCACCGCTCCTAACCGACCGAAGTGAACTTCGACAAGCTCGCGGAACATGCTTTACCTGCCCCGAAGCTGACTTACCACATCACAAAAACCCTATGCCAAGTTTGGACGAATTTTGATTTTGATTGTCTTCGCGTAAAAAAATCCGGAGCCAATTTGGACCGACGGCTGGAGTAATTTGATAGGAGCTCCGAGACACATCTTGCGACAAGGTTTGGCTCGGTTCAAGTTCCAATTTGGCACGCGAGCTTTTCCGGATGACATTCGGGCGCAATCCGTTTTGTTGCAAATTCGCGACCAAAATATTCATAACTAAATTCTGTTTTTGTTCATTTTGGATATTGAGGATTTCGAAATTGCATTTATTATTGCGGTTTACAAGAACCATTATTCAGCATTCTAGCAACAAGCAGTCTTAGCACCAGGTCAAATAGCCTACGCACTGGCGGGCCTTGAAAGTGCCCGGTGGGCAAGGACGACATCTCCAAGGTCGCCGTCGTCGATGAGGAACTTGTTCGGAAAGACGAACGCACCCATCGCCGGATGGTGGGGGATCCTCTGCTCCACGACAGCAAAATGGATCATCTGTTTGACCTTTTCGCACCACTCCTGGTAGTCTGGCCTGTTCTGCTCCGGCTGGCTACTGATTCGCTTGCGACGCTTATCCTGCAGAAGGGGCCATTCGATCTGCAATGTGGTGTAGGGTTGGGTGGATGGTTTATGAGGAGGGTAGGTTACTAGTAAATGAGGCAACTGAAAGCGGTGATGCAGTCGTCACTATCTACGTAACTGCAAAGGCCTAATCGACCAGGATTTTAGCTGAAGTACAGGCACGGGGTTTGTTGATTGTGTAGGTGGTTGTGGTATTTTGCTCTAGCTGGTTGTGGGCTAAGGGTTTGGGCAAAATGTGGTAGTT